AATCATATAGAAGTAGAAAGACAGTGTTGCACCAATCCTTTAAGTGGGGGAGAGCCAGATTCTATTCATTATTTTCGAACAGGTTTTTTTTCCGCCGTTTCCTCCGTAGATCTATAAAACTCCTCTTTAGAAAAAATGAGCCACAATCTCACCACGTTCGGGTCACAGCCTCACTACACTAGATGTTGTTGCTGTGGCTTCGGTAGCAATAGATAGAGTTGAGTTGCCGGCCTAACTAGTTTTAAATTCAGAATTATCTTTCAATAAGACAGGCTGCTAGCCAAGGCTTGGGGGGCCTTATTATTTAACCCATAGATGAGGAGATGCATTCATACCTTTCCCAAGGGGATTTATGTGAGAAAGTGAATGCAAGTAACTGAGAATTTGAACACGGCATACATCTTTCCATCCCGATAACTGTTATGTTACACTCACATCCAAAACTAATGTCCACAGCCATAGTAAACACTGTAAAATTCAAACCTGCAATCACACCCTCTTATAAACTTCACGTTCTGTGGGCACAAAGACACAAATGTTGAACACTTGGTTCAGATTTGCTCTATGGCGGCGTGTAGTTCTTTAATAAAGTTTGCTAAGCAAGGGTTGGGCACTCAGTGAGGCTCAAACTCGCTTCGCTGATAATAGCTTACGGTACTAGATTTTTACTCATTAACGTATTCTTTAATTCCTACCAACGAAACAAATAAAAGATTCTTGTTCTTGTTCTTGTTCTTCTTGTTCTATTTACAGCATTCTAAAAATTAATACAATCAAAACTAATGCAATAAAATATTTATCATTTACTGATTTATAAAGAAACAAAGAAAAGATTACTGAACTGCTATGTAATATCAGTCCTCCTATATGGCAGTGACTGCTGGACAATCTCCTCACAGATGAAGAAGAGACTTGAAGCAAGAGAAACAAAAAAAAGTGTATTGAACTGTTATGTAATATGTGTCATCCTATATGGCAGTGAATGCTGGACAATCTCCTCACAGATGAAGAAGAGACTTGAAGCAAGAGAAACAAAGAAAAGAGTACTGAACTGTTATGTAATATGTGTCATCCTATATGGCAGTGAATGCTGGACAATCTCCTTACAGATGAAGAAGAGACTTGAAGCAAGAGAAACAAAGAAAAGATTACTGAACTGTTATGTAATATCAGTCCTCCTATATGGCAGTGAATGATGGACAATCTCCTCACAGATGAAGAAGAGACTTGAAGCAAGGGAAACAAAGAAAAGCGTACTGTACTGTTATGTAATATCAGTCTACCTATATGGCAGTGAATGCTGGACAATCTTCTCACAGATGAAGAAGAGACTTGAAGCAAGAGAAACAAAGAAAAGAGTACTGAACTGTTATGTAATATCAGTCCTCCTATATGGCAATGAATCTATCTATCTATCTATCTATCTATCTATCTATCTATCTATCTATCTATATCAGTTTGTTTCTATCCATCCTTTGTTACCTTACTTCAGGTATAATATCGTTCTGTTCATGCCCATCGTATTGAACTCGCTTCAGATGATGCCAAAATAGACTATATTACACCAGATCATCAGAGAAGACAGGTGCATGAGCGAGTTGATCAGAAAGATGACCTCTTAGCCACCGGCTGAAGATATATGATCGCATGACAAGTAGATATATAAACACCCAACTCAGATGGAAAGGAAGAAGAAGCTTTCACGTCCTAGTGAGATTAGACGTAGAATTCACGTTCTTCTTCTTCTTCTTCTTCTTCTTCTTCTTCTTCTTCTTCTTCTTCTTCTATTTACAACATTCTAAAAATTAATACAATTAAAACTAATGCAATAAAACTTTTATCATTTACTGATTTATAAAGAAATAAATATGAAAACAATTTTTATTCATAAATTTATAAACATTTACTCAATTATTAAAATATGTGAACCAACTCTAAGGAAATCCTCATTATTTACCATTTTATAAAGTTCGAATCAATTTGCAATTAGCCGATGTTTTTTCCAACCATCTCTAGAGGTAATATAATAAATAATGTAAATAAACAACCTCAGAAATAAATTGTGTTTATTATTGTTGTTGGTAATTCTCATGAACAATGAAAATGTATAAATTCACTTTCATCGTATTCTCAGGTTTTATTACAATTTCAATCACCGCTTTTTAAAACAAAAAACAATGCCGAAGAGTGAAAGAAATTAACCCCCCACCAAAAAAAAATCCGGTGTCATGGGAAAAAACGTCCTTTTGACATGCCGTTTTTTTTTTTTTGAGGGTGGAGGCACGAATGTCCATGTTTGCTCCTAATTCGCCATATTTTCTATAAAGTTTCATCGTTTCTCACTTCTTGTCCAAGTTATTCTCAAAATGTTTCTGCCGAACCACATATCTATTGTTCCTATTCTTCTTTTCAAATTATCCTGCGTTCATTGCCCTATTAGTGGACTGATATGTCATAATCCTTCTGCACTTTTCTTCGTTTCTTTATTTAGTGTTTCTTAATACTTTGATTAGTTTCTGAAAGGCATTTTACTATTCCAAATTTTCCTTAACACCTCTTCGTTACACACACGCCTTGTCCAAGATATTCTAAGCATTTGTTGTTAGAACCACATCTGTATTCCTTCAATCCTCGTCTACGTCTGCGTGAAGATTGTCCCGCATTAAGTAACGATTGATTTGATTGATTGACAAATTTGATTGATTGATTAATTTGATTGACTGATTGATTTGATTGACTGATTGATTTGATTCATTAATTTGATTGATTCATTCATTTGATTGATTAATTTCATTGATTAATTTGATTGATTGATTAATTTCATTGATTAGTCTTCTACGGTTTATCGGCCATTAGCAGGTCATTTAAAGCTTGAAAATATTTTTTTGATTATAAGAATTTAAAAAAAATAATAATGAGGCACGGTAGAGTAATGGATAGAGGCTCGGATTGAGGAATCAGAATTCCAGTCGAATCCATTAAATTCACTTACGTGCTAATACCCTTGGTAAAGGCATGAACCCTCTTCTTCTCCCCTGATTTATTTATTAACACAAACAAAACAATTTATTATAATTTATAATAAAACGGAGGCACTGTGGAGTAATGGATAGCCGTTCGGATTGAGGAATCAGAGAGCCGAGTTCGAATTCCAGTCGAATCCATTACATTCACTTACGTGCTAATACCCTTGGGAAAATTATGAATCCTCCTCTTCTCTCCCCTGATTTATTTATTAACACAAACAAAAAACAATTTATTATAATTTATAATAAAACGGAGGCACTGTGGAGTAATGGATAGCCGTTCGGATTGAGGAATCAGAGAGCCGAGTTCGAATTCCAGTCGAATCCATTACATTCACTTACGTGCTAATACCCTTGGGAAAAATTCAATGAATCCTCTTCTTCTCTCCTGATTTATTTATTAACACAAACAAAACAATTTATTATAATTTATAATAAAAAGGAGGCACTGTGGAGTAATGGATAGCCGCTCGGATTGAGGAATCAGAGAGCCGATTTCGAATTCCAGTCGAATCCATTAAATTCACTTACGTGCTAATACCTTTGGGAAAGGTATGAATCCTCTTCTTCTCTCCTGATTTATTTATTAACACAAACAAAACAATTTATTATAATTTATAATAAAAAGGAGGCAGTGTGGAGTAATGGATAGCCGCTTGGATTGAGGAATCAGAGAGTCGAGTTCGAATTCCAGTCGAATCCATTCCATTCACTTACGTGCTAATACCCTTAGGAAAGGTATGAATCCTCTTCTCTTCTCAGCTATGGGTAAATAGCAGGACAGACTTGGATGGCAAGTGGTGTACAGCAGAAAGAAATGACAACCTATTATCTCGTCAGTCCCATATCGCCTAAACGTGTATCACACATATAAGCCATACTAATTAACCCATAGATGGGGGGAGAAGAGGTAGATTTATACCTAATCTGAATTTGATAAACAAACAAGTAATTATAATGTGGATATAAAGTGGGGGATCAATTCTATATTACATCAATACATAAAAGATTCCCTCTCTTTGTGGCCACGTTAGTATCTATACATTTATATTCCAGAGAATGTAAATAAATATCTAAAAGGCATGTTTGTGTAGCTAATCAGTATTTCATTGATTGATTGATTTCTTTTCTATGGTTTATCAAGAAAGAAAAAAAATTATAATGTGGATATAAAGTGGGGGAATAATTTTACATTACAATCAATATATAAAATGACCCCTCACTTTGTGGACAGAGTAGTTTTTATACACTTATATTCCAGAGAATATAAATAAATCTAAAAGACAGGCCTGTGTAGCTAATCAGTATTTGACTGATTGATTAATTCACTTTCTACGGCGGCTTACCAAGAACAAAGAAATTATAATGTAGATATAAAGTGGGGGATGAATACTACATTACAATCAATGTATAAACTAATCCCTCACTTTTTGGCCAGAGTGGTTTCTATAAATTTATATTCCATAGAATCTAAATAAATCTAAAATACATGCTTGTGTAGCTAATCAGTATTTCATTGATTGATTGATTCGTTTTCTACGGCTTATCAAACAACAAGTAATTATAATGTGGACATAAAGTGGGGGATCAATTCTATATTACAATCAATATATAAACTGATCCCTCACTTTGTGACCAGAATAGTTTTTATACATTTATATTCCAGAGAATGTAAATAAATCGAAAAGACTGGCCTGTGTAGCTAATCAGTATTTGATTGATTCGTTTTCTATAGCTTATCAACGGTTTGTGGGTTATTTGAATCCAGGAAATATTTTTAGATTGTAAGAATATTTTAGATAATAATGATTTAGTGATACAAGTCTTACTAATTAAGCCATAAATGTGGGGAGAAGAAGTGGATTCAAGCGTAGTTGTGCGTAAGTGAAAATAACGAAGCCAACAAGAATTGAAACTCTGCTCCCCGGTTAATAATTTCGAGTCATTATCCATTACACCACCCGCACATCCAAGCTTACAGCACTGGGTATTCCCAAGCGGTCACCCATCTAAGTACTGACCAAGCTCGACGTTGCTTAAGTCCCGTGATCGTACGGGAACTCAGCTTCCCGATTAATAATTCCGAGCCATTATCCATTACACCACTCGCACATCCAAGCTTACAGAATCTGGTATTCCCAAACGGTCACCCATCTAGAAAACTGACCAACCTTGATGTTGCTTAACTTCGGTGATCGTACGGGAACCCGGCTCCCCGATTAATAATTCTGATCCATCATCGATTACACCACCAGCACATCCAAGATTACAGCACCTGGTATTCCCAAGCGGTCACCCATCGAGGTACAGACTAGGCTCGACGTTGCTTAACTTCGGTGATCATACGGGAATTTGGCTCCACGTTTAATAATTCTGAGTCATTATCCATTACACCATCCGTACAGCCAAGGTTACAGCACCTGGTATTCCCAAGCGGTCACCCATCTAGGTACAGACCAAGCTTGACGTTGCTTAACTTCGGTGAACCGGTGTTTCAACGCGATGTGGCCGTATGCAATAAATTTTGGATTGATCGTTTTCTCATGAACAGTTCAAGTTATACCCAAAATGAAATACCCAAGTTATCTACTAACCTAAATCATGTACGGTACAAGGCCACACGTTACAGTCGCAAGGAATGAATTTGCGAATTGGACATTCTCATTTTTCTTTCCTGGTCGAACATTGCAAATAAGTTCTCTTGTAACGTTTCATACATGTTGCCTTGTAACGTTTCAATAGGTTTCCTTGTAACGTTGCATATCCGTTGCCTTGTAACATTGAAAATGAGTTAACTTGTAACGTTTCGTATACAGTGCTGTTCGATAAAAGTGACTCACCTAATATTTTTCCACTTAAAATTTTTTTGTCTATTGTTTTTGGGGTCAAACTAATTTTTAATCTTACTAATATAAAGACCCCTTCCCGACCACCAAGTAAAAAAGTTTACTCACCCTAAGGTATTCTATTGATAATTATAATTTTGGATATAAATGAGATTTATGCAAAAAAAAAGTGACTCACTTATTTCCTGCAACTAGTAATCAATAGAAACATAACCAAACAGCTTTAAATAAAGAATAATAGAGGTATAATGTATTTATAATAGGTAATATAGTTCGAAATATTTAATAATCTATGGGTCCTCCTTTATTTTGAATAACCTTTTCAACCTTTTTTGGCATTGACTTGATTAGGTTCTGTCAAATCTCATCTCCAAGCATTGAATTCCATTCGGATATGAAATTCACAATCAAATCCTCTTTGTTGCTGAACTGCTTTCTCGAAAGCCTTTATAATGCTCCATAAGTTTTCTATGTGGTTGAGGTCAGGAGATTGGGGCGGCCATGTCATAACATTCACCTGCTTCTCATCAAAGTATTCCATCATTAATTTTGATTTGTGACAGGGAGCATTATCCTGCATAAAAATAAGCTTGGTGGGGTCGATTTGCACCCTTTCAGCAGAAGGGGGCAGAGAAGACTATAAAATTCTCTTGTACTGCTCGCTCCTGAGGGTCTTTTCAATAGGTTTTAAGAAACCAGTTCCATGAAAAGAAAAGCATCCCCCAGAACATTATATTGAACGGGTGCTTGACAGTACTTACTGCTAAATTCAAAGAGCTTTCAAAGCTTCTTCTTTAGATTTTAGATCGCTTATCCTTTGAATTTAGCTCAACTTTCGTTTCATCGGAGAAGAGAACATTTAGTAAAATGTCAGGTGAGTCACTTTTATCGAACAGCACTGTAGTTTGTATTGTATCGTTGCAAATAGGTTGTCTTATAACGTGGAAAATAATTTGCATTGTAATTTGCAAAGACGTTGCTATATAGTAGTTTTTACAGTGGAGGCTTGTATTTCAGTAAGTCGGTCCTAAAAAAGGTTCGACGTACAAAACGTTTGGAACTTGAAATAATAGTTAATGACGCAGCAATCTAGTTGTGGTGGTTGATACTTTAATGTCCGACATCGACTGACTCACCAACTCACTCTGAGCCCCCTGGCGACTGCTACTACTACTACTTATTATATGTGGGAGAGTCTATTAACAATAGAATAGGTAGGTTTCGGTATAACATACTACTACTAGTAGGTGTAAAGAACGGCACCTCGGGGTGGTGTAATGGTTAGGAAGCTTGTGTCGTTAGAACTATTACGATAGAGTAGTGAGTTCGATCCTCACTAGGTACCCCATACCTTGTGCCACATCTGAGCTACGCTTGGAAAATCACTACTAGGTGTAAAGAAGCAAGAGAAAGAAGATTAAAGCAAAATTGAGCAAAATTTCATCAGTTATTATTATACTTAATCCTCGTTAGTTAAATCGTAAGTCTGTTAATTTTGTGGCATATTAATTGTGAGTTCAATCCCTGGGGCGGGCTGAGCTGACACAGCCACAAAGGAAAGTGATCTTCCAATAACAGAACAGTACTAAATAAGAACTAGATCCTTAAGGATAACCGGTAAATAAGATTTTTCATTGCTGTTTTCTGGTTAATAAGCTAACGTTTTTTAGTAGCAGGAAGCTATTGCAGTGAAACCTCTTTTGGGGATCAAAGTAGCTCTAAGAGAAAAGAATATTGAGGTAGGTTTAGTATTTACTAGTAGATTGCAGATTTGATGATTTCTTGAATGTACACATAAAGTGGGCATATTTTGACCTTTGCGCACCCCCCTCTCTCGAAGTGTGTTTATCGCACTACGATGACGATGAAGTTTAATTATTCTGAAAGATGATCAAAACCAATTTCAGGCAGGCTAATCGTGACCGGATGGGGGCGTACCGAATTACTGTCAAGCACAAAAGGAATTAAGCCGACGCCCATTTTGATGGGTATATATGTTTGAGAAACGTCTTGTTGAGACGTCTCACTTGAGAATAGAGCTACGCCAAGCAGTCCTCTAGTCTCCGCTCTTCGCTTCTCGGAAGGTGAGACCCTCTTCGACATTCTTGCATCTATTTTATCTCTTTTGTCTTTCTTAGAAGCAAAAGCGCTTGACGAATTGTATATAGGTACATGTCTGTTTAAATACTTCAATTCTATTGAAACAATCCGTAAAGCAAAAAAACAATTTATTGATAATTTTGGGCGAATTTGTTGCTATACGTTAATCCACAATGAAGTGTATATGGTGATTGATATGTACTAAGATTAAGCTTAGTTTGACACAAAGCCAAAATTGGGGAAGATAAAACTATCCTAGTAATGGTAGCTTGCCAACTATTTCTCCACTACCAGTTGCTCTACGCAGCGAAGTTGATACACTGTTTCTGCAACTTCAGAGGCCACACAACGCGCCCGTAACGTTATCTTGTAAGCGGGCAAATAAATTGCCTGGTAACGTTGCAAAAATGTCTTGTAACATTACAAATGCTGTACCTCATAACATTGCAAGCGCCTTTGCCTTGTAATGTTGCTCTTGTAGCGTTGCAAATACGTTGCCTTGTAACGTTTCAGTTGTTTTGTAGCGTTGTAAATAAACGTTCTTGTAACGTTTGCAAATACGCTGCTTTATTTCATTGCGAATACGTTGCCTCGTAACGTGCTAAATGTCTTGTAGCGTCGTAAGTACTTTGTGTTGTTACGATGCAAATCTATTGTCTTGTAACAGTATAAGTAAGTCGCCTTGTAATATTGCAAATTCATTGCTTTGTAACGTTGATAATGTCTTGTACCGTTGCAAATACGCTGACTTGTAACATTGTAAATACGTTGACTTTTAAGGTTGCTAATGTCTTATAACGTTGCAAATGGGCTACCTTGTAAGACTGCAAATGTTTCTTTGTAACGTTGCTAATGACTTGTAGCGTTGTAAATAACATTTCCTTGTAACATTGCAAACATGTTGACTTGTAACGTTGCAGAAACTTATTGTAACTTTGCAAATGCCTAGCCTATAAAAATGCAAATGCGTTACATCGTAATGTTGCAAATGCGTTACTTTGTAACGTTTTCTAATGTCTTGTAATTACGTTGTCTTGTAATGTTACAAATAGGTTACCCTGTAACATTGCCAATACGTTGCTTTCTAACATTGTTAATGTCGTGTAGTGTTGTAAATACGTTACCTGGTAACATTGCAAATACATTGCCTTGTAATTTTGCTAATGTCTTGAAGCATTTTAAACACGTTTTGTTGTATTGATTTTCTAAGTGTAGTTCAGATGTGGCACAAGGCCGAAGTTATGGGTCATCCAATGAGGGTCGAACTCACTACTCAGTCGTAACTGTTCTAGCGAGACAAGCTTGCTAACGATAACACCACGTCGAGGTACCCAAAACACGTTTTATTGTAACATTGCATATACGTTGCCTTTGTGATGTTGTTTTGTACCTTTGTATTAACATGTAATTCATAATAGATTCCTGGAAGATATTAGTGCCTTCACAATCTAAATTAGGGATTCTCAATTTTTTAATAATGTCAAAAGAAATTTTTTATTGTTAATAAAATTATTCTGATGTTATATTTAACCAGTGTGGAATTTTTTTTTAGCTACAGAGCCTTGCGGTGTTACCATGACGTTTTTGTCACCCTTTTGGATGAGCGGTCAGTCTTTGTTCAGAAAAATTGTTGCAGTGACATCGCCGCAATTTTACATACCGCCAACCAAAATACAACTTATCTGCAATGTTACCAGAACGTTTCGTGTTAGCCTGGATCACTACAATGATCCATGGCCCTGTCTACCCCTACTGTCGTAACAAAGGTTTATCGATCCTTTGATATATCTTGTTTTTTTGTGTGTGTCTAGCCACTTTCCTCACCAGAAAAGCATGCTGGGGGAACCAGTTTAGCTGCCGATGACCACGTGGCAGGTAGTACCAGTCGCACTCGTAGAGTGATCTGGATATGAATTCTTAATTTTTTTTTGTCTTAAATTAGTTTATCTTATTTACACTCGGACTAATGTCCTCATCTTTTTTTTTACTGTCATAACGTTCTGGCTGTTGTAAACCGCCTACCGTTAGGTCCCTGATCGTCAAGGCAATCTTCAGTGGAACGAGAACAGTCTATCCCGTAAATTAAACAAGGTGTGTGAGTTAGAAATTCCTTGAAAGCTAAAGAAAGCATCGGTAAAAATAGTAGTCGATACAAAAAATAGTCGTTTGTATCATTCATAAGATAATCAAAAAAATCTATTTCAAAGCTCCAAACAATTTATTGTTCTGTTGTGAAATAAATCGAGTGCACTGAGGTTGGTGTGTGTGTGGGGGGGGACGCTTAACCGATTAGTCTCTTAAGAATTACGGCTTATCAGGCAGAGAATGGAGGAAAGAAAATAAAACTGTGTAATGACTAGCGAGATCACTGTCTCAGAAATCCCAGCACGACCGGCGGCACGTAACTTCCGGAAAAAAAACCCGCAAGGGAACGTCTTCATAAGACACCGAGTCTTGCGAACAGCCCACTACTGGTTTTCTCATCGCTTTTATTGAAATGAGACAGTTAACGAAGAACCGAGTCTGGACAAGTTGCAGAGAGGCCTGTATCTAGATATGCCAAGCTGT